TGGCCTTCCAGGCTTTACAAAACCTTAGTCAACTTGAGCTTCTACTGTTTATAGAGGAAAGAAGCAACTAGGTAGGCCCTCTCTCTATTGCTCTTCTCAAAGAGAAAGGGGAAGAGCAAAAGTGAGACCAGGAGGGAGGTAAGGAGAGAGTATTCAATGTTTACAAAGCTAAGATTTAAAAGGATTATTTTAAAGACTGTCACTAAATGCTCTCATAACCAAGGTGCGGATTGCTCGTTTAATAGTCAGCAGAAATGATGTAGGTTGGATAGTCAACAAAAAAATCAGAAGACATAAATTTCAACATAATCTGTGATATCCATAAAATGCCAATTTTCGTTGAAAAATAGAACCTTTCTTCTGAAATCAAGCATGAGCCTCTTGCTAAATATGTCACATGAATGTTAATTTTAGACTGCTAAGAGCTCATCGATTTACACTTTCCAGTAATAACTTTTTAGCTATTTTTTAAAATATGGGGAAAGACAAATTAGTATCACGGATACTACACTATCTGGAATAAGAACACTGTTAAATAATGCATGCAACAAATTTTTATACAAGTTGTAATTAGATTTCTAAGATTACTTGATTATAGCCATTTCATAGCCGCTACTATTTTTAATTTTAATAATAATCTCAGTTAACTGGTGATCACTACCAGAGAAGCAACAAAAATGAGCTACAGTAAATCTTCATTCTTGCTAAAATATTACGTTTCCCAAATGATGGAGTAGATGACAAAATACAATTAACTTCCCAATGAGCTACAAAAAAAAGTCTGTTAAATCTATACTGTAATCCCAAAAATGTTGATGCAGTTGGGTTTGACGGATGAGAAGTTTTTGATCAAAATGAAAAATGAGCTTGGCAATATCACAGTCTCCCTAAGAAAAAGTTTCTTTTGTATTTGCTATCAGATTTTTCTTCCAAACCTGCTCATGGAGATCTTGTATGATAACATTTGGGTCCCTTCCAGCTTTGTTTTTATACACTCTGTGGAAGTCTTAGGTCACCATTATTGATGCCACAACACTTGATGGTGATAATGACCTGTCACGTAGGTATTTGCCATGGTTGCAGAGGTTCAGTGAGATGAAGGCAACACTGCTTTGTGATACTCCAGGGCCTGGCAGATGTCCAGGAGCTTTTGCACCTCCTTGGCAGCCCACGTGCCGGGCCATCCCATGTGATACTCGCCCAGGATCGGCTTCCTGGGAGCAGAGCCGAGGTGCTCGCTGAGGACTGAATGCAGAGCCCGCGAGCTCCCTTTTCCCTTGCTTGCTTCCTGAGGCTGCTTTTCAGACTCTTCTTTAGAAATATATAATAAATTTAACCTTGCAATGTTTTGCCCTGATCAGGCCAAAAGCTACAAGTAAGCATTAGCAGCCTGCTTCTAAAAGAAATGTCTTACTCCAGTGTAATAAGGGTGCTTAAAACATGCTGAACCCGTGCATTTCCACTGCCTAAATCACCCCAGACACATTCTGCGTTTTCACAGCTTTGGGTCTTTTTCTTCCTGTTTCCTCTGTGTTTTTAAAAGAAATTCAAGTGCACATTTATAACAAAACCTAAGAACCGACATCATTTTTCTCTGGGAGGAGAGCTGATAACATTGCAGTGAAAGCCCAGCTAAGATAAAATTCATAGCTATGCTGTGTAGAAACTAAATTTTATCTTTTTTTCCTCTTCTGTAACACTTCCTAAGTTTAAACGAACATCTGCTCACTTGCTTATGTTGCCAAGATAAATATCTAGGAACAGAAATCAAACCCTATATTGTGGTAAAATAACACCAAGAAGGCAGTAAACAGGTGTGCATACATCCTATGGATCTCCTGCATCTCCAGCTCCTTCCACGTGTAGTCCAGTCCATAATCATCTCTAGACGGAGTAGGTAATGAAGCATTGAAATTCCCATTTTCTCACTTCCATCAGCAGAGCCTTGCTTTGATTTTGCTGGTGGCAATGCCAGTAGTGCTACACCAGACATCCCTCTGCTTTTCGGAACATCACAATTTGTGGATACCACCTTAAGAACATGAAAATGAGGTGCTTTTCCATAAGAACTTCTGTAAGAACATCACTATATATATACATATGTGTGTGTATATAGATATATGTTTTTGTTTGTTTGTTTGTTTTCTGGCAGTTCCTCAGAGATAGCAACTCGGTAATTATGGGGAAGGTAGAATGTGGAAAAAGGGATCATTGCAGGTGAAATGAAAACCTGATACAACGCAGCCTAAAATAAGAGGTTTTACCCTCTGGCCTACAGACATGCATGAAGATTTATTTTTCTCCCTTTCTTCTTCTTTTCAAGCAAAAATTGCTTTGAAAAAGAGAAAAGAGCAAACAAAAAAGCGTAAGAAACTCCTTAGGCAGCTCGCAGGCCCCAGCAAGGCCACTGCCACGCTAAGCTCACACCGAACATGTCCAAAGGCCGGGCTGCTGCTGAGTGAAATTTCTGCCTGTGCTCTTTTAACAGCAGCACACTGAAAGTGAAACTCCTGGCACAGTGCTGCAGTGGCGAATGCAGATGGGGCTTTGGGCCATCCCAAAGCCTGAGGGAGGAGATGGAGCATTGGGAGGGTGTCTGGGGAGGAAAAACAGACTTTTCTGGTGACCGCTCTTTGCTGAAACCTTGCACAGAGACCTGTTTCCTTCTTCCCCTTTTCCATTTTGTGAGGGAAAAGGGAGCACTTGGCTGTGAGGCGAACCAGAAAGGTTCACTCTGCAGAGAATAAGTAATATAAAAAAATAAATAACAAAACAGATGAGCAAACCCAGCATGAATGCAAACTTGCAGCAAAATGCAACTCAGATTCCTACTCTGAGTCTTCTCCGTTGAACCTGGCAGATTTGTCCACTCCCACGTGGAGAAGCTCGGTTTTCAGGCTATCGATTTTGAAGTGAGAATATTTATTTGCATGGCTCTGGGAGGAGAAACCAGGGCTGTAGGTTCCTTAAGTAGCAGTTTCTTGGCATAGTTCAGATGTAAGTGTACAACCTGTAAAGTAACGCTATCCAGTCTGGCCACCAGAAATAAAGCTGACTCGCTTGTCTAGACATTGACAATCCCTAAAGGAATGTGCATTTATAGGGGGAAAAGGCAACAAAACCCACATGAAAGCATAGCTCAGCGGGCTCTGGGTGCACCTTAAACCTCAAGCATATTACGTAACGCAGACTTAGCACTGCAACTGAAAATATTGACGCCTGGAGTCTAAAGCAGCACCGTGGGTTCAATGGCGCCATTTTCCCGCAGTACCTTTTGGCGTCTGGAAAGAAGGCTCTTCCCACTGCCCCCTGGCTATGCTTTATTTTTCTCTTTTTTCTCCCACTGAGGAATAGAAAGCATTTATTAAAACGTAAGCAGCAAACTTAATTAGAAATCATATTCCAAAGAGAACAACAACAAAAAAACACCCTCAGAAAAACCGGATATTCTTGCAGAAATATGCTGCATTTCTTTTACAAAGGTGAAAACAACAACAAATAATTACTGAAACAGCCGCTGCCCGAACTATTCTATATTTCAGAAATGCTACAGCTTTCTAGATAAAAATCAACACTAACTTCAAGAAAAGTATGCATTACCTCAGGAAAGGAAACTGAAGTTTCTAACTAGAAATTTCTTCTAACTTTCTTCTCTTGCTTCATATTATATTCCTTACCGGCTAGTATGATTTCTATTACCTATGCCAATTCTAATAAAATGAATTGTTATTTTTTGCACAGTTAATTTACTCCAATAACATATACTTGCAACATATCTTGCCTCGTTTTGTAAACTAATAACAGAAATGTGCCCAGGTCAAGAGGTGCAAGAGATGGATCGAACTAAGGGCTAAGGGAGAGCTCGATCTGAAGCGAGATTCACATTAGGAACCTCAAGGAATATAGAAAAAGCATCTCTATGTTCTTCTGGAATAAGGGAAGTGCGGCTCTAGCAGAAAAATATACAGCACTACAAATAATTTAGATTCAACCTTCTGAAGCCTTATTCATATTTAAAAACTTCAAAACAATCAGTTTTTGAACAAGAAGTTTTTAACATTTTTCTTGAAAATACCAACAAACAACCATAAGTAGTTTTTTTAATCTTCTTCCATCCATAATACCTAATCATACAATTGTTTATCAATTCAATTAAAAAGATAAAATTATTATATGCTCACATAGCAAGAGCTTTGTCATATTACCATAGTACATGATCACAGCACTTTTTTTTTTTATTTGATGCTTAGCTGGTTTGTCTAAAAAGCTTAAATTAATACAAGTAACCCAACCTATCATCATTTGTACGCACTTCCAAAGCTAAAGGAAAAAAAATCAGCTGACATTATTTTAAAGTAGGAAAATATTTTTATCTCCTGGTAAATTTGCACCTCCTCTAATAAATGTCTCCATATTTCTTTTCAAATATGGGACTGCTTGTCTTTTCCCTCCTTAATATCACGCTTGCTTCCTCCACAAAACCAGCCAAAAAATAGAAGTCTGTTAGTTGGGGGTTGACTTAAACATGCAGCAAAGTAAATAATGCACTTCTGCAACACTCCTTTCCACCCAATTCTTCAGGCAGCATTTTGGATATAAATCGTTAAGCTAAACATGTCGAAGCAAAACTCAAGAGAGCTAATTTCATGCTATCCCGCCAAGCTGGCTTGAGGAAAACGAACTTTTTTTCCCTAGCTCAGGCATAGGGGAACCAAGTTTGCTACAGGTAAATGCACTTTTCTCCCCAGATCAGGCATGGGAGAGCCTCGTTTGCTGCCTTTGGATGGAAAGGTTGGCCACAAGGCAGCCCTGCACTATGGGGCCATCGCCACTTGTCCAGTTTAAGTGCTGTCCCTCCTCTCCTGTCTGCTCCTTGCCAGGTCCTCATTCACTGCATGTTCCTTTTAGATGGTGACAGCAAAGGACACCTTTTTGCACCAGCTTAGACACCAAGCAAAGCATATTGTACAATAAGAGGAAAAAATGAAGTCCTTGCTTACCATAAATTCCTGTTGAAATACAGGGGAATGCCTGTAAAACAAATGAAAGAAAAAAGTATCAGTGGAATTTCTGTTTTCTGAGCATTTTATTTTATTTTATTTTATTTTATTTTATTTTATTTTAATCAAAACCAAGTGTATTGTTAAGTGTCTGTTTTTCAACACCAGGAGATTGCACATTGTAGCCTTTGCTGTTACAGCACTGAACTCACAGGCGTTTTCGTGGCTGTACGTGAAACACTTTCCATATGTTTTCCTTGCTGCCCTGCTAATAAAGCTGCCATCTATCCCTCCCCTTGAGCTATCAGCAATGTTCGAACCCAGAATTGTTATTAAAATTTCCTTTTGAGTTAAAACTAGTGCCATGAGCCAGGAGAGTAGAAAGGAGTCTTATGCCTGGGTATGGTGGTAAAACAGCCTCACACACAGGTGAAATGTTGCCCTGTCCCATCTGCTCCTTGCCAGGACCTTGTTTGTTGCAGGTCCTTTTGCATGGTGACAGAGAAGGGGACCTTTCAGCACCAGCTTAGGCACCAAGTAAAGTGTATCGTGCAAGGAAAGACAGCAAAGGAGGAAAAAAAAGACATTCTACTAGCATGAACAGTGATCTCTTTTTCTCCTAACTGTATGTTTCGTCCAGAGATTGGCATTTCAGTGAGTTGGGCTTGGCTTCTCACTGGAAGATGCAGGTGACAAGTGACAGCACGGTGGCCTCCCACTTCTGGACTCAGGGGAGCACCTGGAAGAAGAGCCTCCCAGCAGATCCCCTGGCAATGAGTCACCACCACGGTACAAAATAAGGGAATTCTTCCTTGTTTGATCACACAGGAAAGCATTACTCAAAGCTAATGCTTACTTCACATGTAACCAGGGAATTAATTAGGGGATGGTGATTAAGAAAGGAGAGGGCTAATGGAAAGAATATGTCCTCCCCTTCCCTCTGAACACACTTGAGTC